GATGAAACTTGGCACATATGTTGACTGAACCATAACCTCTGTAACAACATGCTCAATCTTAAATTTCCTGTTACCATGGCAACGGCGGGACGTGTCAAAATTGCGAAAAATTACTTTTTTGCATTGTTTTTTTCATCAAAACTGATTTCAAAGTGCTGCAATGAGATACAGTAAAAGACTTTTCAGCGTTGGTTACACGTCACCTTAAGATCGACCTGAGTCCATTTTTAGCCTGTCACATGTACAAAATTTTCATAGCGATGAGGGACTACCGCCCCCTTCAAACCCCCAAAACAGAAGGGGGCACATCCCCCTTCTGGCAACCAACTGGTGTATCATTTTGATGGGGGCCGCGCAGAAAAAGTGGTCACTTTTTTAACAGCATTTCTCTAACGAAAACCAGTGTTTGGGGCCTAAATAGGACATTTTTCACTGTTTGAGGCCTCAAAAAGTGGGGATTTAACTCAAAACAGGATTGAGACGCTTGCAGAAATCATGATCACAAAATAGACAAATACCGTTTTTTTCGCCGACTTTTACATTTTTCATTCATTATCATACCTAAATCGGTGTGAAAAGATAAATTAGACCTATTAAAGTTCATTCCGTTGGGTAAAAAGGCAAGATTTTAGCATTTTATCATTCAAGCGCCTTGTCCGGTATATACCGGAATACGGTATTTAGTGTGGTGCTCCACTCACTCAAAAAGTGTGTGTGTGGGGGGGGGGGACAAAAAGCTGTCGAGGTCAGGGTATCGCATTGTAACACGGCCAGCGATTGGCTGAAAAAAAGTGCAGGGAAAACCGTATGATTCAGTTTATACATGAGGCGATTGGATGAAAGTGGGGTATTTTTAAGTATAAAAACTAATTTAAAAAGTAACACTACAATGTTTTCTGAAGAAAATGAAATATTTCATGAGTCTCTGTGATAATTTTGACTTGGATATTTGCATTTATAAAAAGTGTATGTCAGTCCTGTGATCAGCAGAAAATTTCAATGAAATGGGGGGTAATCCTCTTTGAAGTCATTTTGCAAAAAATTTGGTTGGCTACCCCTATATAACAGGAACATTTTTATGTGCCAGGCATTTCATTCTGCTAGAAAAAAATACCTCTTTAGCATGAAAACTCAATTTTAAGGTAGGATAAGGGACCATTTCTTATAATGTAAGTCTATGGAAATATCAATGTGAGCGTCTGGCCTAAAGAGAGGGAAATTGGAACTGTCATAATTCACAGTAGTACTTTGTCTTCATTGATTACACCATGAAAAGCTGATATTTTGGGAGAATGGATGTATACAGCCTGTCTAGGTATGAACTTTCATTATTTCAGTGCAACTGTTGGTGTTTACAGCAGATAATGTGTCAAAGGGGTCAATCTACAAGCATTGTTTACATATGAACAAAAGTATTAGTGTTACATAAGAGTTAATATGGTTTATATTTTCTTTGAACAGTGAATTTGAGTGGATAATCAATTGGTGATATGTTGATGATGAATAATGTAGACCTTGGTCATTAAAAATATTTTTTCAGATTTCAAAAAAATGCTGTACATTGGCTATACACATGCCAGGTTTGAAGACTTCATGTATAACTTGACAGGACCTGATGTAAGCACATTGGCCACTTTTGATGGGTGTTGCAGGTATATCATTACAAATGCATATTGTCAGGTTCAAAACTGATATATAATAATTAAAAAAGTTTAGGGTGCTGTTTCGATTAACTTTTCGACTTTATTTAGGGGCGGAAATTTCTTCGCTCGGCACTAATTTTTTTCCATTTTGCTCAAATATTTAAATAGAATGTCACAAATAAATTGCTTCTTTGTCTGTTTCCTATATAAGAATGTTTTGTGTTTCATTTCCAGGCCATAGATAGCATTAAAAGCTTCAAATAAATAGCATTTTAAGGCTTCTGTCTTAAAATTTACTTGGTTTCAGGGCATGAATATCAACACATACTTAGAAATTGAAATCCATTGAAAAATGTAGCATAATTCAGTTAGGTTGCCTCTGAATAGCCTCTTATTATGTGGTTAAGATGCAAAATAGTGATAAGAATTTATTGTTTTCTATTTGGTAATACATATTTATACTCTCACAATTGTATAAAACCATAGTTTTTAGACTTTATGTCTGTTTAATGCATAATTGAATGTGCATCATAATGGCCAAGGGTAGATTTATTTTGTAGAAAAGTTTTATTGATAAGTAAAAGTTGATCTACTTTTTCACAATCATATCAGGCACAATTATAACACAGCTTTAGTGTCTGTGATGTGTCTATAAACAGAAAAAGCATTTATTCTGGTAGATAAATGTATAAAAAGGGTGTGAATATGCACAACTTCAGTGAATTACCTCCCTTTATTTATTGAGAAACTTAGATAAGTGCATAAATTCTAGTTTCTGGCTACCTAAATGAGAAAAAATACACATTTCTGTCCATTCCAAGTACATTTTGGTCTGAATAGGTGATTTACATGTTAAAACACCTGAAAGAAGGTTTCAATTGTTATATTTGACTCCAAATGAATGCAAAAATGACCAAAAAATGGGTGTAGAAGTAAAATTTTAGGCTTTTACTGTGCTGTTAAATCCAGAGGAACTTGGTTTTTCCATACATTGCATTTCTTTATATCCATGTAAGAGAGAGACAAAAAGTATATAAAGAATTTTGGCATTTTATTGATATTTAGGCTTGTATTTAAGACTATATATGCAAATATTTGGAGTAGAAAAATATAGCAGGACAGTTTTGATATACCTAGTTACACCCAAAATGTTGCTATGTGTGTACAAATAATGTGTAATCCATAATCAGGTCATTATACAGTAGTTATTAAGTATGTTTGCTAAGCTAAATCTTCATTCAGGAAGTCTATTGGTAATAAAATGTTGAAATTTGGGTGAAAAATCACTTATTTTGTTATGGGTGGGGTGATAAAATTGCTCCCTGCTGCATCCTTTTGTTACAAAATTAGTATTTTGAAGCACTTCTGTAATGAGAACAGTTGTAGTTTTGCTATCTGTGTGATTTTATGGAAGTTGTTACAAAATTGGCTTCAGAATAATGAGTTAAGTATAAAAATCACATGCTAAAATTCATATTCAGAATATCCGGAATGCGGCATAACGGCGCTTGTTACAAAAAAGGGAACTTCAAAGTTTTAAATGACTTAAGAGTGGTGAAAATGCATCCACATTATTGGTAATTGTATATGCAACTTCATTTATTATTAGATTTTAGAATACTAAACATTTAATATTCCCTTTAGGTCAGGGTATCGCATTGTAACACGGCCAGCGATTGGCTGAAAAAAAGTGCAGGGAAAAACGTATGATTCAGTTTATACATGAGGCGATTGGATGAAAGTGGGGTAATTTTTAAGTATAAAAAACTAATTTAAAAAGTAACACTAAACAATGTTTTCTGAAGAAAATGAAATATTTCACGAGTCTCTGTGATAATTTTGACTTGGATATTTGCATTTTATAAAAAGTGTATGTCAGTCCTGTGATCAGCAGAAAATTTCAATGAAATGGGGGGTAATCCTCTTTGAAGTCATTTTGCAAAAAATTTGGTTGGCTACCCCTATATAACAGGAACATTTTTATGTGTACACATTTCATTCTGCTAGAAAAAATACCTCTTTAGCATGAAAACTCAATTTTAAGGTAGGATAAGGGACCATTTCTTATAATGTAAGTCTATGGAAATATCAATGTGAGCGTCTGACCTCGAAAAACGTCTATATGAGGAAAAGGTTAACGCGGTCACGTGTCACAACAGTGATCCGGAATTATCCCGGTATCCGGTATGCCCGGGATCGTTTATGGTCTCACCCCGGTACGGAATTAGACCCTAGAAAGTAGTTCTTTTAATTTTTGAAGTGGCCCAGTTTAAGTTCTTTCTAGTTTGATTGGTCACAATTAAAGTGTATTTATTGCATGTTAGTATTTTTTGTGCGTTATAGGATGACTTTAAAAGTTGTTTTTTGTGTACTCCTAGGAACTCATTTGTTGGCGGAAGTATTAAAAATGTACTACCCACCAGCAGTCAAGAGTTTTCAAAGTGGTGAATTTAAACAGTGTTTTAACAGAATGAAAATTTCTGAAAAAAGTAGATGGCTAACATGTTATATTTTATAATTCACCAGAAACAGTAGAATTGGGAATTAAGCCTCAAATGTGACTGATTTACTATAGCACAAAGAATACGAAAATTCACTAGGCCGACTCCTTATCAATTTTCGTCATTAAGTAGGCCCCTATCACATTTCAAGCTAAATGTTAGATCGATAAATTGGTCATCATATATATGAAATAATTAATCAATTATAAGTTTTAGTGCCATGAATTACTACAAATATAAAAACAAAAGCAGTTATTCGTATCGCTATATGTTTGATAAAATCCCGGATTTCGTGCGTTCCGGAGCACAGACTGTACGATCACGCGATACTAGAAAAAAAAAACCCGGATGAAAAAAATTCCGTGGTATAATAAAAGAAGGTACATGTATTTCCCGTTGGTGGAAAAGCGAACTGTTTTTCTTCAGAGCAATAATGTTAAAATATGAACATTTTGAAGTGTCATTTCGATTTCTTTCAACTATATAATGTTTTTGAGGGGGGATTTTGAATATTAGCAAGACGACAGTTTTTCTGCTATCTTCTGGAGGTCAGCTGCTTTAAGTTCGGAGTGATTTATGCTACGTTAGGTTCGGTTCTCGTGCTCGTGACACTTTGATGTCTCACAATGGTAACCGTATTTTACAAGTATTTTTCGAAATTTTCATTTGATATCAATTCATAACTTTATCCCGTAATCTATGCTATTTGGTAACGTATTATATCCGCTTTCTCACAAGAACAGTCTCTAAATTATCACATGTAATAATATACTAATCATAATAACCGGAAGGTGAACGGTACACATCACTTGACAATTACTGTTACGCTTACCGGTAATTGTCGTCTGATAAATAATTTGAAAAGTCGAACAGGAACATAGAAACAAAATCATTTGATCTATAAGTTCTCTCAATGTAGTTTTGCTTTTAAAAGCAGAACTATTCATCATTTCAAATAGTTATATTAATACGAAACGGCAACTTTTTATATAATCTTTCTTAATATAAAACAATTTAATTAAAAATGCAAATTATTCTGGCGAATTTATTTGTTGCTGCTAGTTTGCTGGTGGTTTTAAGGGGTATGTTACTGTTTTTATCAATTTCGTTTGATTCAAATAATATTTCTTAATCAAGTATAGCTTGGTCTTTTACTCAAAGTAAAATTTATTCATGCTTCATTAGAAATAAATGGTTAGAAATGACATGATGATATTATGGTATATCATAATTTGGAGACATTTCTATTGAATATGTGTCAGAGCTCATAAACGCACTGTCTGTCGGGGATAAAAATGTCTAAATTTGTTGGGGTTTACTTACAATAACGACAGGGAAATGGATAATGATAAAACAATTATATCCGGATGATGTCCGTAAATTGGTTCATTTATTCTAGGGTTTCATATTGTGGCGAAAGGGAAGTGTTTTTATTTTTGCCTATGATACAAAAGAGACACTTGGCAAACTGATTTATACGTGGGGGCTACGCCCCTACAAGTCAGCCTCGTGTTTCGACGCTCTTTCTATTACATAAAGAATATAATGGATACGGTATTCATTAAGTGACTGTGGACGTTCATTGTGTTTAATATTTTGCTTGGTTTACTTGATTTAGGTTGTCTCGGTCAGACTGGTTTCTGCAATGAAGCACATCGAAAGAATCCGAACACACAAGGTAATGTATGTATGTCAAAGAGTTACTATGTTAGTCACATGAAATATGTGTACATATCTTTAAGAATTATGAACATTTTTTAACCAAGGTGTATTATAACTAACTGATAAAACTTCATACATTGACTGTTACCGTCTTAAACTCAACCTTAGCAAGATGTTATACTTTTAATGATTATCTGTTTGCAAATGACATTAATTATACTTTGCGACCAACCTTCGTGATATTTTGGTATCGTGCACACGTTATTTAATGTAGAAGAGTCCTGAAATATTTAAGCATAATCGACATATATGTATTTTGTTATTATTTGTAAACGCATTATGTACAGACATTACAGCAGAGGAAAAAGCTTTTTGTATTTATCACGTCTTTTTTAAATGTCCAATCAACACTCATACACATTTCTTGCATATTATAAAAAATACCGTATTGCATTCTCTTTTTATGTGTTTTTTTTTTGTTTTGATCGATCTGTTATTATTTATTAACAGGAAAATAGGAACTCAAATTTTAACCGAAGTGAACGATCGGACAGACAGACAGACATAAAAACTTGGTGCTCTATTTGAAATGATCCCTATAGGGTGTGACACATTCCATTGAATTCTATTGATAAACACATTTACTTTTTTTCAGTTATGGAAATATGCACCGACCAAGCATCAAGAAATTCAACTGTCTTTATCGATACCTTCAAAGTCTCAAAATTCCAAGACATAATTTGTGAATGTAACATTACGCCTCCAGGCCTTGATGTTGGATTTTACTTTTCATTCTTTGAAATGAGTGTAGCAAAGGGCATGGCGTTTAGAATCGACACACTGGTGCTAAATGAAACAGTAATGAGGGGTGCATTGCATTTGTGGGACGTTACGTCACTTCGGTTCTTTACGTCAGAACAATTTGAAAATGGCGGAGCATGTTTGATTGTCAAATCAGGTAACATGTTAGACCTTACTTGTAAACTGTTATTTCATATAGTGAACTATACATTTTTATGAGTTTAGGGTAACAGTAGTGAAAATATTAGGTATAGAGTCGGGATAGAGATTTTTCAATTCAATTATCATGTCGCCATATTGTAAAATAGAGTCGGCTTGGGTTACGCTTGGTAAGGTTTTTTTAAGAGCTTGAAGCTTTTAAGAGCATGCTAATATGAAATTTACAGAAACAATATTTCCACACAAAATTATAAAATGTACATTCTGTGAAGCTTTACTATTCCGAAGAATAAAAACCACTAACAAGTGTATGTAAACAAACCTATAACAAAAAAGCAAAGGACTTAATTTTCAGTCTTATTGTAAAAATCATGGTTACAATAATCATAGTTAATTATATATTTTTCTTTTTATTTCAAAACATGGATATAAAGTACATGGCCCATTTGATATCAATTGTGCGCAACCGGAGACGAATTCCAGTCAAGATGTTAACAAAGAAACACATGGCTACGACTATTATATAAGTATGAAACTATATTTTCAATAAAACAGTAAGTTAGTATCGTATCCTTAAGATATGATTTATAACTATACTTTATGCATATTCTTAAGCAAAATAGCCGAGTCCCAGAGGAACCATAATTCATAAGCATCCCTCTAAACAGACCCGCTGACTACTTGTCATGAATTGATAAACATAATGACTGGCTCAGTACATATGTTCAGTCTAAACATACATTTATGAACATAAAAAGGAAGTATATCTAGCAAAAAATGGCATACAATTAGTTTGTCGCGGTAAAGTGTAGTATTATTCGGTAAACATTTTTATTAACTATCACCAATTGTTTTATACTTAAATTATACTTCTTGAACTTGGTACAAATGTTCATGATTGCGAGGCTTTGTTTCGCGCTCATAATTAAGATTTCTGTGGCCAAAATCAGTCACATAAAAATGTGTTTATAGAAAAATGAACAAAATACAATAAGTGTCTGATAATTTTGTTTTAAACAGTATGACAAAAACAAAACAAAATAAACTTTTAACAATTTGTTGCTGCATTGCTTCTGTATTTAAATTATGTTTTTAAGAATCGACTTATTCTTTCACTGTAGCCTTGATTGTGTTACCGGTACTTGGTGGCAGTGTCATTGTCATCTTGACAGTCATTTTCGTGATTTGTATGAAAAGGTTCGTTTTAATTTTTTTCTTTGTGCCTTTTTGTTCTACGATAAATGACTGAGATACCTAACTATTTGAAACACATTGTGTGATTTGCGAAATAATGTTCAAAACGACATGACTGTGCGTTACAGTATTGCTTGGTAGCAACAGTAGCTTATTCCAGTGATGTACAGTATTGCACATTTGTTGCTGATCATAGCATTGTTTTAGTACTGTTATTGTTTTACAAACTATTTGTAAGTACATTAATTTTGCAAACTTGTTTATTATACAGTTATTTGTATAAACGTACTATGAGTAGTAACAATATCAAATGTGTTTCTGATTAAGATGTTTTTTTTTTTAAAAATACATGTTAGTATATAAATAACACATTGGTTTGTAGTTAACAGTAAAAATATCATCCCGAGGAAAATACTGTACGCCTCGGGTTAACAGTATTTTTACGAGGGATTATATTTTTACTGTTACTCACAAACCCATGTGTTATTTATTTTATTACCCCGAACAAAAATACTGTGATGATCTGAAAGTGTCAACTAAATCTAACTTAACAAAATAAACCAAGAGTAACAATAACTAAACTGTCCTTACCTTTTAAGTTTTAAGTGTACTTTAGGCCTACTTGAGAAGTTTTCTTTTTCTTTTATTCTTTAAGCAAGTGATGATATCTACAAATCATAAACATACAATAAGCTAGGTTTTATTTAGAACACAAAACATTAACCCATTTACACGGTTATGATCTGTGAAATCTGATCCTTCTGTTTCCAGAATATTCTTAGCATGGTTTTTGACAAAATAACGATGATATGCTATGTCTGTCCACCATATCTGTAACGTTTCACTGATTAAAATTGTTAAATAATCCTTTGTTGCATGCTTAAATCGTCTGCATGTTCCAGTTTGACACCTAATTATTTACATTGCAATTACTTCCGTTGAAAACGGATGTTCAATTTTTGACTATTCAACAAAAAGATATTTTATACGCGAAAAGCACACCAGGGTGCGAACAACTAAATTTTATGAGAGCCATAGTTACTCCAGAGAAGAAATTGATGTCCTATTGGGGTTTAACGTCGAAAATAAGAATGAATCGAGAAAAAAATGGCGGCCATTTTATTTTATTTTATTTAGAAAATAGACCACGTGACCAGATTTTATACTCTTAAAAAATACTGTTACCTATGTAACAGCACAAAATTCTTAGTCACGTGGTACACTTGCATTAACAGTAAAAATAACTCCCAGAGGCCTACGGGAAATTAGCATTATGAAAAAAGTGAGGGGTAATAATAACAATTGTACATGTGTTGCTAATAATAAAGTTACATGGCATCCATAACAATACATTATTTTTATCATGATTTCCTATTAAAACAAGATTTGTAATGATGGATCCAGTGTCTGGTATATTTCAGGCATCGGGCGATTGAAAACAAGAGACCAAGCACTCAATCAAATAAAGTCTCAATGTCAGACTTAGTACCAAACACAGAGCAACGTGAATGTGATACTAACACTTACGAAATACCTGACCAAAATGTTTATGAAGGTTTGGACAGACAAGGAAATGATTTACCGGCTGACACGTACCAACATCTTTATACAGAAACAAACAATTCACATGGCAAAAGGTAATTACACAAGATTTAAATAGCAAATACAAATTTGCAATGTCGAATGTCATAAATAAATAATAAGTAATTATCAATATAATTAATTTTGAATAAAATACATAATCGATGCACACAATGCAGTTTTATTTATGTCTTCCAAGCTTGATATATTAAGTGTTATATTTTCTGTCCCTTGACATACTATGATTAATTAGACTCGATATAGATCTACAACGGATTAAATAGTTAATCAAGAATTGAATATCATTTTGATAAAATGTTTTAAAAACTCTCAAAATTGTTAACATTTAGTGATAAATGTAAATGTTGCCTATTCTACGGGGAAACAATTAATGTCATTTGCAACACCATTCTTATAAAACTCAAGTATGTGTCTGCAATATACAATGTACATCGCACATATAACGTACGTTCAATACAACACGAAGATGGTTATTATTACAATTCATTTCCATAATTTATTTTACTTCTTTTTAGTCAATATCTAAACCTTAGTAACCAACAGTCGGACACAGACAATTTGGAAAACGAGTATAAAAATACGTCTGGAAAAGGTAGTTTTAGTGACGGCATACACACTAAGAATTCGTCACATGAATATGAAAGATATAAAGCTAACGCAACTGATCAGATGTACGAAACACTACAAACAGACGAATGAACTTGGTCTAGACTAACTTTGCCGAATGATTAAGGAACACACACGAGTGACGTTAAGGCCATTAGCTCCCTTTAACCTAAAATTGAAATTACATGTGACTTAAATGAATGATATAACTTGCGAAGCTTATATAAATATGTTTTAGAATTAATAGAGTGTATTTTACGTGTACATGTATTTAGAGTTTTGTTAGATAATTTCACCACATGCACACCTGTAATAATATGATAAATTCAAATCTGACCAATATTAAATTGTTTGGATTAGGTAAAGAACAAATATTCAGATAAAAAGCATAACTATGTAAAACTATTGAGTTGTAAATAAAAAGAGGATACAGTAAAATAGTTGATGAAGACATCCTCTGTTTTCCAAGTTAGCAGAAACACAACTATATGAACTAACATTTAAGACTGTGGACATACTAAATAAATCTTAGTCCTAACTATATACAGGTGTACTGACTGTGTATACACAGATAATTTCAAAGTATTTTAAGGATAAGCAATTTATGTTTTAATGCTTAATGTAATTATATACCATTGCCAATTCTTATTGATGGTGTAATTCAAAGAACCATTGAAACACAGTTTAATAGTAACCATGGTAACGTGATAATATATAAAACTGTTTTGACCATTTTCAAGCATTGTTGTTCATTTAAATATTTAAAATGGAACAAATTTTGATTAACTATGAACAAATTTTAAATAAAATCGTAAAGAAAGCTATTATTCACAGAAATAACAGACATTACACCGTCAGCATGCAACTGATATTTATAAATATATAATGAAATACTTGAAAATGTTTATTCTTGTGAATTGTGTGTTTATACTTTTGACTGACATAAAACTATAATATGTTTGTATCTGATTTTAAACTTAATTCTTTGAAATTGAAAACATTTGCACAATAGAAAAATGTTTTCATGGTAACGCCTAGCTGACGTTTTTGCACGTTATACATAGTACTCTCATACATACATACATATGTTTGAAGTTTGAGCTAATTCTGAGACAGGAGCAAATTTGTCCATTAGTAAATCTTGCCCTTTATATTTTACCTTCATCTAGAATATACGTATTTAGATGTTGTAAAATGTCATGCTGCTAAATCTAGCATCAAGGTTACTATTGTTGTAATGGACATAAAATTGTGGTATTTTATGTCATATTTAGCCCAAGAGATGTTGTACATTATATAATGTATATATGTTTCATTATCTATGTGTGTCTTTGAAATAAAATGAAAAGAAGCAACAAGATTTTTGCTATTTTTAAAGCCGATCCCTGCTAGAGATTGTTCTGATTTTGTTGTTTACTTTACCTTGCTAAGACATTAGTTGACTGATCTTGTTTTTTCACATGGCTAGAACGATAGTTTGTCTATTATTTTTTCTCCATATGTATCTTTAAATTGAAATTTTATATAAAAAACAATCTATGAAAGGTAATGATATAATTAGATTATGTTTGTTAAATGGGCCCATTTACATATTCTCTTATTTTACTCCTTGTTTGTTATTGCTCAATCATTGGAATCGTTTTTCACCGCTTAACTAAGAGAGATTTTTTCTCTCTTTGTTTTCTTTCCTCTCTATCACCCTCCATACTGAATCTTTACCATGTTTCCTTATGTCAAATGGCCTATCATGTTATATTTCACTTATATATTCCAGGACTATAGTTTATGTCACACTTTCTATGAAGAATGCGGACTTTGTTCGTGCATCTGAATACCACACTTTGTTTTTGATACGCTGTTTGTTATTTTATCCAACTTTATGTCACACTTTCTTTTAAAATTATGCTTAATAACTATATATTTATACTTTCGAAAACCGTAAATTTAACTTCTGTAAGCTATCAGACATGTCAAGTCCTTAAAATGTGTTGTTTTCACTTTAACATAAATAAACTGCATACCCATGGAAGAGCAAATTGAAAAAAATATATCCTAAATATTAATCTTTTGCCATTATTTTATTACACAAAAGGCTTATTTAAGATACATGGAGAAATCAATAAAAGATGGTTGTTAAATTAATTTTGCCATGTTAGATAAAATCTTGATTTCATCTTAGTTGTTTCCTTTAAAACACAGACCCTAATTAGAAATAATAATATTGAGTCAATTGTTTTAAAACTGCTATGCTTGTATAAGCACATCCTTGAGACACATAGATTTGCGCTGATAGGAGCACTTGTAGGATCAAAACGACATTCAGATTAATTAAATATTCTGGAAAAGAAAGAATACTCGGTAGCAATAAAGTGAAAAATCTAGTTTGATTTAAACCTTATTTGTTCATGATGAAACATGTACTTTTGCTTAACTTATATTTTATCAATAATCAAGCTGGGTGGGGTGAGAGGTAAACTTAACGATTTTTCTTTTTACCTTTATAATAAGTGGCATTTCTATGTATGATGCATAATGCATAAATATTTTTTGACTACGTATAGTTATACGTACAACGGCTAACTCGAATGTTAGGCATCGGTATTATATATATTTTTACGTGAATTGATTTGTTATCGAGGAAAGTCGATAAGACGAACTCGGCATAAAAATACAAACAATAATTAACGAACACGATATATGTCAATAGAATGTAAAATTATTTACACAGTTACCCGAGGTAAATGTAAAATTAGAAATAAACACATTACATGAAAAGGTAGGATGTGGTTATATACAAAAATCGCTCAACCATATTGTGGCAGATTTTGATTATATCTAAAACAATTTTATTTATCTTTTATTCATTAAAATAATTTCTCTCTAAATTTCTTCTGTTTACAGTAAAGCATTTCAGATTCACTTAAATCCATGAATTTTGTAGTGTAAAATTGGTCCTCTTAAATTTTTGGTCATTTCAAGATTAATGATTTAATGTTACGCTCTTATGGTTTTCTTATTTATTGATAATGTTTTCTTAAAGGAATAGGAATGGATGGATTGATGTCTGTCTAATATAAATATTCAACATTAAAAAAGAGGAACCATGACAGTTTTCCTATTGACATCAACCCTATAAGAGAGAAATTCGTGTTTTAAGACACTATTTTTTACTTGAGAAATAAGTCCATGGGCGCCGCCATTTTGGCGTTCTGTCATTCTCGCGAGACAGACGAGACCGAGATTGTGACGTGTAATACCCACTTCCGGTATAGGTGTATACGCTGTTACAACTGAAATATATCTTGATGAAGAACTTATTAATTTTATTGCGTACATTATATATTATTTATGAAAACATCATATGGAACTGAATTGCTTTAATTAATTAATTGAAGACGCCGCGACATTAATTATTATTTCTCCGATATTCAAGCTTGCTGATGATCCCACCACATGATTTAAGCAATGACTGCTTAATTTTCAAAGATAAACCATAAATTTAATATGGGTACTATGAGAAACTTCTTCAAATTGACAATATATCCTTTTATTTTGTACTTAATTTTCGCTAGACAAGCTGTCCAAATAGGGTACACCGTCGGTCATGTATCATTTTTTCAGGTAAAATACCAACTAAATCCAATATATATCTACTTACCAAATTCCTTTCCCCGACAGATACGCATTTCTACTACCGTAAATTTAATCCAATAAAACAAAAAAAATCATAAATCTACTTAATATTTAAAATGATTATTGGTAACTGAAAAAAATGTGTTGCTATTTTATGACGTGCTGTAATTTACTACAGTAAAATTTGACAGGTGTGGAACATAATTCCCCCTAAGGTCATTAAGTTCACTGATGAAGCATAAAAAAATAGATGTCTATTTCGTCATTAGAATATTTGGACAAGGATGATTAACCAATCAGGGCAACATTGTGCATGATCAAAAGGTCTGTCGGCACAGAGGCATACAAGGAGCAATAAAAATAGTCAGTACACAGTGTGACAGGAGCATTTGGTGCAAATTAGGAACAATTAAAATGGACAATGCGCAGTATTAGACATAAGTAGTAAGAACCAGCAATTGTGTGAATAAATTATGCAAATAAGACTTTTGAGCAGCCAATAAAAATGATTTGCCTGCAGTTAATATTAGGCTACGATTACGATGCGCAGCATGGGGGCCTCCGTGGCCGAGTGGTTAAGGTCGCTGACTTGAGATCACAGGTCCCTCACCACTGTAGGTTCGATCCTCACTCGGGTCGAAATCTTTCATGTGAGGAAGCCATCCAGCTGGCTTACGGAAGGTCGGTGGTTCTACCCAGGTGCCGGCTCGTGCCTGAAATAATGCCCAGAGGGGCACCTGGGGTCTTCCTCCACCAATAAAGCTGGAAAAAAATCGACGAAAAAATCTCGGCGGGACGCTCTAGGATGGCCCGACTTGAGTGTACGGTCGCCCATATGGGCTTTCCGGCGGCGACCTTAAATAAACGCATAAAAAAAAAAAAAAAAAACGTTGACAGACATGTTAACAATTTACTTTTCAGAAGAGTTGCTTATATTTTTGAAATGTGTACGTCAATTATAACATATGTTCACACCTTTAAATTTGAAAGTCAGAATCAAACTGCAAAAATTTAATTATATGTACTATTAAGAACATGTTTTAGTAGGGTTTTTATAATGGAAGTTGCTAGCGTACGGGCCCGTACGGCTAGCCAAAAGTTTTAGCCGTACGTGAGTCACGTACGACTAGCAAGGACACGCTGTATTGGCTAGCCGTACGGCACTTTTCAAAATTTTATGGAAGTCGAAAATGCATATGTTATTTTATGACTTTAAGCGAGGATTTTAACCAAGAAACATCATCAATTGTCTTTGGATGTTAACTTTTTAGAGATTAATCGCCTTGACCGCTATATATATCGATCTTTGTCAACGCAAGATGTCGAGAAAAAAAATAGCCTTTGCTTGCATTTGTAAATACCAATTGAAATAGTTTACAAAATTTTGATAATAATCCTTTTTTGCTTCATTAAGTTTAATTTTTAACACCTTTTATATGAAAAAAAAAACAACAAACACTGAAAATGATTGTTGCTAGGCTCTTGATAATTGCGACAATTACCAACGGTACTGTATAGAAGTTTGTCCATCTAGGAAAGTTTGCATGTTCCGTGAAAGGCATTCTAAAATTCTATTATCATTCCCTGGATAGGTTTTAATTAAGGCTGATTAATTGATTGACTGTGCTTTTATGTTCGATATTTATCTACTGTTTTGAAAATTATATAATTATTTTTGCATTTCGCCGTTTTTTCATTTTTTTTTTCATTCAATGTTCTTTTTATTTATTTATTCCACTCCGATCATTTTTTATTCGATCCATGTGCTTAAAATTAACAAAAATGTTTTAATAATTCATACAAATAAAACAACAAATGATAAGCATGAAAATCAACAATTTTATAACGTTCGACTTCCATATAATTTTGAAAAGTGCCGTACGGCTAGACAATACGTACAGTGCGTCCTGGCTAGTCGTTCGTGACTCACGTACGGCTAGAACTTTTGGCTAGCCGTACGTTTCTTTATTTTTTATTTATTTATTTTTTTTGATATTGTTACGTATTTTGAACCATAAAAAATCTCCTCTACACCTCGTGTGAAAATTAAATTGTCTGGTCATTGATATTTCCTTACAATTCAACTAGATTTATCATGAATCTAAAGATGTGGGGAAATGACATCACGCGCACCTGTTTTTATACGGCCAATACACAAACATGGCCGCGCTTACTGATTTGTAGAAATCGGTGATTTAGCGATTTAAATTTTGTTATCATTCGTTTAATATTATTATTTGGCGGCAGAAAATTTGCAGACTTATTATTTATAGTATTCTTTTCCTGAAATCAAGTTTTTATTCTAACCTTGTCTTTCCCTTTAAGTAATTGTTCAATTTGAAACTACCCCTATTTCATTTATTTTCTAGCATGAGATTTTTAGTGAGTTCACTTTTTGTTAGCCTATATAAGAAAGATTTTGACCTTTTCAATTGCTTTTGCCTCAAGGACGCCAAGGTAGCTTATACCTAGTCAACGAGACAAGCCACAATTTTTACCAATGTAGGGTTATTTTGGTTTGTTTCATTTTTGAATAAGAAATCTATTTATTATATTTTCTTAGGAGTGTTTTCCATTTACTTAAATAAGAAACTTAAATAACTTAAATTAACTTTGCTTTCATATTAAACTGTAAATTATGGCCAACGTATAGATTGTAGTAGATTTTGTATTGTTATAAACGATATTTGAGAAATGTTAACTTAATAAAAGTCATCTAAATTGTGAATGATCTTTGTTTGATTGAAACCTTAGAGTTTATAGTTAACCCGGGTTTGCAAGGTTAGTAAACCTGCTACAATATAACTATTCTAAATCTTTAACTTAAACGTCGATTCAATTTGTTTTATGTATGTCGTATTGGAAACAAGTTTATGTGAGGTATTTTGAAATGGTTAACTAGTTGTTTAAGAAAAAAGCTATATTATTTGTTGAAACAAGGATATCAATGATGAATTTATTCTTCTTCCTCCTTATGATATGTTGTATAGATGGTAAGTAAACTCAGGTTATTTATGTCATAGGCGAATTAAACAATAAAAATGGGTAATTTATAAAGCTAATCGATTCAAACCTTCACTGTTTAATGTTAACTACGAAATATCCCACGAACTATTTTGGGAAATCTTTTTACAACATTGCATCATACTGACTTGTTTTCTCATGATACTAAAACATGAAATTGCAGTTAAGTAACTGATATTGAATATGGTAATACTATCTATGTTAAAAGCTAATCGCCGTGTGTAATAAGGAACTATTATTAAGATATTTATTTCAGATTCAAACGGTCAATCACCACTTTGTGGCAATGAATATAAACCAGGTACGTTCGCGATAATGCCCATTCATATAAACATAAAGATATATACATATAAACTTCCGCTTGAGTATTTCCGGTATGTTGATGACGTTTGGGGCCTTTGGACTCACGGTATCGAGTCGTTAAAAACATTCCATGAGCTTGGGAATAACCTTCATCCAAGAATAAAATTAGAATTAAGATATTCTACTGAAAAACTTGAGTTTCTCGACGTAATGACGAAGATTCAGAATGGCATTTTAATAACAGACCTATACACTAAACCCACAGATAAACACCTGTACTTGCATAAAAATTCGTCTCATCCGGAATCGACAAAAAAATCAATACCATATGGACTTGCCCTCCGTGCTAAGCGAATATGTACTAATGAATCAACTTACAAACAACATAGAGAAAATATTAAAACTCAGTTACAGAAACGAGGCTATGAAGATCGACATATTGAAACAGAATTAAATAAAGTAGATAGTAAAAAAAGAAGTGACCTATTACATTATAATGAAGATAAAGAAAACACTGAAAGAATCCCCTTGGTACTGACATTTTCCAGAGCGCTCCCGAATGTAGGACAAATAGTACGAAAACACCTACCTGAATTACACACCTCAGATAGAATGAAGGAAATATTCCCGAATCCACCAATTCAGCATTTAGAAGAGATAATAACCTACAAGACATTCTCGTTCATAAGAAACACAATAAACTATTTTTTCAACAGCCGAATTCCTATGCTCCTTGCAGATCCAAAAAGTGTGCGATTTGTCCGTACGTTATTGAAGCAGACACATTCATTGGTGTGAACGGGGCCTCGTATAAGGTTCGAAATCAGATCACGTGCAAATCTACGAATGTTGTGTATGCAGTTTATTGTAAGCGTTGCGAACGTTATATTTATGTTGGAGAAACAGGGGATACGTTGTACCAAAGACACCTTCTTAATTTATCCAGAATACGAACCAAATACAACGATCCGTTAGCGGCGCATTTTTATACGAACGACCACACAGTAAATGATTTTTCAATAATGGGGCTGGAAAAGCTATACGGGAATGAACAATACAGAAAAACAATAGAAAATTTGTGGAAAAATAAATTAAGAACCTATAGACCGTATGGAGTTAATACAAAAGAATAACGCGGCAGACGGCAACCAACGCCACGGCGGGCGTCGTTCATTGACGTTACGTCACTTCCATTGTTTTGTTTGATATATTTGTATGTGAAATAAATGCTGCTGAAGAAGGCCGAAAGCTACGGCAAATTTAAATTAGCGTTATATATATATTCATAAGCTTACATTTACTTTTCTTTAAAAATAATGAGCTACCATGTACTATCTCTTAAATCTCGTAGTAAATCAAGTGTGTTTCAAGTTTTGTAAGCAGTACGTTATTAAAAGACGCATACATGTATGTTAAGATAGACAATACTTGATATGGAGATAATACATCCGTTTACCCTTTAGAATACTTTAAAGATGTACGCACTTCTAGTGCATCAATTACGACAGATATAAAACAAGATAACAACTTGAGATAATGTGCATTTTATTCTCGAAAAGTCCGTCATAAATATATAAATGTAACGCGAATATTGGATATTGACAGTATTAGCTATTGATAGCAGAGAGATAATTTATTAAATAATACGTATGCATGTGTAATCATAATATTATTGTCCCCTCCCAATCTCTTTGATGCACCCAATAGAATTCCAGCGTAAAATGGCCTTTGTCGTCCTCCAGTCCCTTAGCAATGTTATGTCGTTTTAGTATTTGAAACGATGGAAGGAAATTGAAACTTCTTTGCAGAAATATTAACCATAATACGGCAATATTCAAAGTACACGTTTGGATTCATTGTATTTAAGATCAAAGTTACACTTCAAATTTTGTGCCCGTTCAATATCTTTTGAACTTTTGACAAAAATGTTAATAATAATGAGACAATGCCATTTAAGGGTTTTTTAAGTATATACATGTATTAAGGTAAGAATACTATGTTATCAATGTTTATGTAAATAAGAGAAAGGGATAATATTCTGTCAGTAACCAGATTACAATTCCATACTATGTATAGTACTCTACCAAATATCACAGTGATAAGGCAGCAGATCAGGCCTAACAAAGAGAAAGTTTTGTTTTTTGTTGTTTACGATATTATAATTGGTGTAAAATGTTTGTTTCCTTTCCTGGGAACAATAAAAAACGAGAGTGAACTATTTAAAAAACGAAATAAATAAATAAATAAATGCAAAATAAATACACTTCTAATATTTCTTTTAAGAATACGTATACTGCTGGATAAATTTACATTCAAAAGTATGATATCATATCGGTTGTTATATTTATTAAACGTTTTTTGTTTTGTTACATAGCTGTAAAAATATGCAGCATCGACAACGTGACAACACAGAAACCTGTCTACATTACTACATTTAGCGTCCCGAAATTTCAGCAGACACTTTGTGAGTGTTCGATAACTTCAAACATTTCAGAGGTCGATATTTCATTCTCTTTTGTTGATGATATGGTTCCTCAAACCTTAAGCTTTAAAGTCAACGATGATGAAATAAAGTCCGGGCAGCAACGCACTTTCACAACGGAGGATCGAAGTCTTACGCTTTCTGTCCTCACAAATGATGGTTATACATATGAAGGTGCTTGTTTGATGGTTTCGTCAGGTAGGATGATAACGTCAGGTAACTTCTACATATTATTTGTTGTGTGTATTTGTACTAGGTGTATCTGATGATATTGAAATGACATTTATACAAATAAATGAGTCTTAACCATGCTCTATTTTCCCAATCGATAGAATTGTGTCAATATTATTTGTTATCATTCATTTCATTTTATTATTTCGGTTCTTATTACCCCCGTTTCAAATGTTATAACCGAGCCTTCAGACACAAATCAATAATTGACCGATGGAGTATTAATTATGAAATTATGATAAATCATATAAAACATATCATTAAGTTGTCTTAAATTTACTTTCACGTCTGATCTGAGTAAAATGAAATATGCCTGACCAAAATAGACTCAATAAATCACTGACAAGATGAGATCTACTTACATACATGTTTCGCAAAGTGTTGCAACAAGCACATTCACTCAACCTTGTACATTGACTTTATTCGCTTCGTATGAAGAAAAAAAAAACAGACGTGAAACTTAAATTGAAATGAAATGAAGTCGTTTCATATCAATCAATCGTAAATCATATCTGCGGTGTATCGTGTTATCTGACATTTTGTTATTCGACTCTTACGAATCGTTAGATTTAAAAATGTTGATACGTTTAAGAACTCCTTTGAAAAATAGAACTCATATTCGTTTGATATTCATTTCACTATTCATTTGTTTCCATTTTACTATCTGCAGCATACATTTGAGTCTCATCTTAGAACACTGGCAAATAGAAAACATATCTGTTTTATGGAAATAACTTAGAACTGTATGTTCTATACACTTTTTTCTGCTTCCTCCTTTTTACTATCTGCAGTATACATTTGATTCTTATTTATTTTCATTCATTTTCAATACCTTGTTATGACAATACGATATCTTCTTTTTCGTCAACAATAGTTATTAGAAAATGTGTTTTCACCAGATGTTATATTTCGTACACAATGTCGATATTTAAAAATATATTTTTAGATTCTACTTTCAACGTTATATGCGGTAAGTGGTCGTTGACGTCATCAACGTCAATAGCAACGTCATTGCCGTACACTAATTCAAGTGTTGAAATGGACAAATATATCAGGAATACAACTGACAAAGACGATAACAACATTATAAGTATGTAATTCTCAGCTGAAAAAATTCATAGTGCCAGGTTATTTTGCTCATTAATGTTTTACTATTACAGAAAATCCTGTAAACAACAATATTTCTGAATGTAACGTGTATTTATACAATGATATATTTTAATGCCACTTTTTCTGCGATCGCGTAAAATAAAGGCACGTATATGGACTGCAAATACATCAATTAGAATTCAATTTGTTTTAGTTTCTCTATAATCTATAAAGGAAACTTACATAAAGCATGATCAACAATAAAGTAGCCACAGTATTATCTAAATGTACATTCAAAATTATCATAATAGCAATGTTTTATATTTTAGTACCAGTTGTTGCTGCATCTTTTGCTGTTTTCGTCTGCGTGGCAGTTGTAATACTTATCGTTATATTTTGCAGAAGGTAAGTTCAATAATTGTTCATATGATTTTCATTTTGTTTTGTTGTATATATGGCCACATAGATTTATCTGTTATCTAACTAACGAAATAAAATAAATTCAAATTGGAAATCAAATGGTCCTACAGATGTTGTTGTCCTTTTTACATATTTTATTTTGTAATATTTTAAAGATCCTGTAACGCAAACTTTTATGGTTTTATATCATAAATCTGATGGTAAAATGAAGATTAATCAATATTGTAAGTTTCAAAAAGTATTATTTGTAAAGATATTACCGAATTTAACATTTCATGTAAAAACATTTAAGTATAACCAGTTTCTTTTTTTTCAATAAAAATGAATGCGTTAATTTTAACGTTTAATAATAATGTATATAAACATTTGTTATACACATTTAACATATTCTAGGATGTTTCGAAACTGTTTTAGAGGGATAATTATATACATTTATAATATTTCACTTAATTGTATGTTACATCGTTAATTACAACATACTGTTTGGTAACCATACTTTGAGAGAATATGTTCATAAAATATCAGTTTTATAAAATCATTATATTAAATACTTAGTTTGACTTAACAACAATTTTAAAAATGAAAGTTAAAAGGACAGACCCCTTATAAAGGTATGAAAATCACTCTTGAAATTGATGTGCAAATCGATTCAAAATAGTCAAAATTGAAACATTAACGAACCCACAAAAGAAAAAAATAATCATGTCGCAAGCTCGGTTTGATTAAGCCTGTTCAGGTACAGAAGTCGTAAATTAAAGCTACCGTTCACGCTCCAAGCACCGACTTAAGCACTAATCTCGGAAATGGTGAACATTTGAATTTAGAAACATTTGCAGATATATTCATACGGCAGTTTTGATTGACTTATCATTGTGATATGTTCGTGATATTGCATGAACGCCAACGTAAAATATTTTTGTGCCCTGAACGAAAAAACAATGATTGTAACTTAATTAGATTGAATGTTATATTGAGAGGGGATCAGAAATTATGAAGGCAGTTTGTGATATAGTATTTTTTCATTTTTTCTGTTCAAAAAATAACTTAATTGTGTGAAGATAGGCGTTATAACGCGAATCAAAAGGCGTAATTACGCAAATCAAAAGGCGTAATAACGCGAAAAAAAGGCGTTGAAACGCAAATAAAGGCGAAGTAACGCGAATAAGGGGTTATAACGCGAATCAAAAGGAGTAATAACGCGAATAAAGGCGTTATAACGCGAATCAAAACGCGTAATAACGCGAATAACGGCGTTATAACGCGAATCAAAAGGCGTAATAACGCCTATAAAGGCGTAATAACGCAAATCAAAAGGCGTAGTAACGCGAATAAAGGCATAGTAACGCGAACCAAAAGGCGTAATATCGTAATAAAAAGGCGTAGTAACGCGAATAAAGGCGTAGTTACGCGAAACAAAAGGCGATATAACGCAAATCAAAAGGCGTATTAACGCGAATAAAGGCGTAGTAACGCGAACCAAAAGGCGTGATAACGCAAATCAAAAGGCGTTATAACGCTTATTTAATACCACATAAATTCCAAACAGTGGCCTAGTAAAGTAAGATAGGAAGAACAATGTTGATCTAAATGAATCGATCAAGACGTACGTTTTATTTTCAATTCTGTTCGGATACGTCCTAAGGCCACTGTCTTGATTTTTTAAATCTTTTATTAGGATATGCTTCGTCAGATTAGAGGTTAACTATCACCCAACTATAGATACTTTTCTACATAGACAAAGAAGGCAATGTTTCCTATAATTGTGACATAACTGAAACACTATCCCCCATTTAAGCATACCTATCAATAATCACCCTAATGTGACTAACTCATACAAATCTTATTACCTATAGCCTATTACATATAGCCTAATTAGGAATGGCATTCACATAATTAGAAGATACTACAGGTTATAAGGTAATCAAACAGGATATATCCGAAGATAATTGAACATATGACGCACATATAAGATAAGATAAGATATAAGATAAGATAAGAAAAGAAAAGAAATTCATTTACTATAGTGACATGTGTAAAATCAATGATGTGATACATGTGAATTCAGAGTAACTGTATTTACGTCCAGTCCAATGGACCTATAAGGCACCAAGTCACCTTATATTGGCAAATATTAAAGAGTCTTCATTAGTTTATGACAAATAGTTTGCATTATTACTGTGCAAATGGAATGTTAGTTATTGTAAATGTATATTATAGTATTCTAAACGAGTTTATATCTTGAGCAATAAATTCATATCAATATTGGTTACTAGGCCATTTGATTAGTATAAATATGGTATTAAATTGGCATTAATATGCGTTTTAGTTTGCGTTATTACGCCTTTTGGTTCGCGTTACTACGTCTTTATTCGCGTTACTACGCCTTTTGTTTCGCGTAATAACGCAAATAAAGGCGTTATTACGCCTTTTAATTCGCGTTATAACGCCTTTATTCGCGTCATTACGCCTTTTGATTTGTGTTATTACGCCTTTATTCGCGTTATTACGCCTTTTAATTCGCGTTATTACTCCTTTTGATTCGCGTTATAACGCCTTTATTCGCGTTATAACGCCTTTGCATTTTTATGTTTTATTTCATGCTTTCATGATATGAATATACTTATGATAAATTTGTTCTTTCAAGCTTCAATTTCTCTATTTTACAGAAGATCTACTGAAAGAAATAAACAGCCGAACATAGCCAACCAAAGTGTCACAAAGAAAAATAATGACGATGAAGCAGATACCAAAACGAACATAAATAATTCAGATAACGAGTATCATTATGCAGAATCTGCTAAACAAAACAAACATGTAAATGCTGGCGATTTAAAACGCTATTCTGATTCAAAACAGTTTATCAACAAAGGAAACCACCACGATTATTCAACCTGCGCGTCATCTGCCAAGAAAAGAAATCCGGCTCTAAAAGCCAAAACAGAGGTCGATACTCAAAAAAATGATAATTCAGCAGTCAATGAAAACACGTATGATACAACTAATGCAGGTTCTGTTCAACCATTCCAAGGTTTTAATGAATATCATCATTTAGATAACGCAGGACCAATGAAATTAGCGGTTGTTGATGTATACAATACAATTGATAATGCAAGCAAGTTTCCTGGTCAAGAAGTCGAGGAAGACGTTTCCCATTATCATGTTACAAATTCACGATAATACTGACCTTTTCATTTTACAGTCTGCAATATTTGTTTTCAATTTAATTGTGTCTTTAGTAAAGTTTATTAAGAGGCCTTTATCTTATCTGATATGTATTTGCAAGTTATTTTCCATTTATATTTTGCGTTATCAACGGTTTCGATTCCGCAAATGTGAAGAAAGAAAAGTTAAATACTATAGTGACTGTCTACATTCTCACTTTATTCTAACTGAATTTTAATACATATATAAGGTATTAACATTAGTGAATAAAAATACACACTATTATACATTGACATCATGGAATAAAAAAGTATAAAAATATGCTCGTGAAACAATATATATATTTACAGTTCAGTAATTTAATACAACAATTTCCTATTCACAGTTCAATATAATACAGTTTTTAAATTACAATTTACATCTGGCTATAATTCCGTGCTTAGAATAGGGAATAAAGTCCTTAAAGAAGTTTTCAATTGTTTCTTGAACATTTCTACAGATTTACATTGTCTTTGGTCTCTAGGAAGTTTATTTCACAATTTTGGGCCAATTGTACTAAAACTTCTATCTGAAAAAGTTTTATTTCTATTAAATGGCACTACATATCATCAGAAAGCTAACTGCGAGGATCTTAAAGAGCGTTTTGAGGTTTTGGGAGTCAGCAGATTAATTAAGTAAATGTGTACGTTTCCTACAGAACAATTGTACATATACAAACGTATCTTGATACTTATACGAGCATTAATGGAAAGCGAGAGTAAATCGAAAAGTTCTTGATTGGAGCTATCACATTTTGATTTTGCTTACTCATTTTTATAATTTTATTTCATTTGTAAAATTCTGCAATGTATTCTATTTTGATTGTGTTGTCTTTCTAACTTTCAAATATAAATACGGCTAACGGTGTCCGTTTTCTATTCCGTCTGACAACTATAGTCATGTGAATTAACAGAACCGCATTGGTCGCCCCGTATGACATTGCTTGCTCGATTTAATTCAGTCTGTATAAAGACAGCAGTGGTTAATACAAGCAATTGTCTATGCCCACTGACACTGGCGCTAGCAGAATTAAACGGTAGAAAATAATATGTTTTAATTTGTATCAAATCCGCAAATGTATTCCTAAGATGGTGATCATAAAACATTATCGTGTCAGTCCATGTCAATAGCATAATTGCGGTCCAAAATTGTAAAAATGGAAAACAATATTCTGAAGTAACCTTTTCTGTTATCTTAAATATACGATGTAGAATAAAATGACCGTATTACAGTAAGTTTTAAACATCATTCCTTTGATTGTAAAGACCACTGACAACATCGACGTTACCGATTTCAGTGTACTCACTGTCAGTAGCGTCACCAAACTCAAAGTCAGCTATATTATTTTCGCCAGTTTGCTGGAACACCAAATGTTGGGTAAAGTTATTTGGTAAGTCTGGATTATCATCATATGCTTCCATTCTTTGTTCATCATTCGGTGCACGCTTTTGTACCAGCGAATATAGAGGAGACTCATTCTTGACCATAATTGGTTCAGTCATGTTATACAAAGGATTCTCTGTCATATCATAACCATTATCATCTCCGTCGTTTCTTGCAGATGTTTCATTCTCTTCATGTGATAGCATTGGTGTCCTCACATTTTTCTTCTGTTTCTTGGCTCCCCTACATATAATAAATGATAAATCCAAATAACATCGACATTACAATTGAAATTTCAACTCTTTTTCGAAGATCTACTACGCACATTTATCCGGTAAAATACCGAGATTTTTACTACAGTGCATGACATAGAAAATTATTTTCTGAAAAAAAAATAACATCATAAATTATCTTAATTGATGTAAAATTAAAGTTAAATGTTTTTTTTGTCATATTGTTTTGCATTCTTTTGAACAATTGTGCATTCTTTGTGCACCACTTAAACTTTAAAACACAGATACTATTATATCAAAACAGGAACAACAAACTCTTGAAATAAACAAAAAATCAACCTTTTGTAGCAAATTATAAGAATTGCAACAAGTTCCACAATAACACAAACAATCCCGCCAATAGCGATACCTAAAATACATTGAAATATTAGTTATATCAATGAGTAAGATGTAATGAATCTGTTTAAAAGGTTTCACTAACTTAAGTGTAATGATATGAAATAAAAACAGAACACTTATTGTTATAACAACCTGGATATATCAACACATGTACTTAAAAACATCTAACTTTAAAATAGAGTCGAGTTGAGAATTGCGTACTATCAAAAATTGAAACGAAATGTCAGAAATAATTTTAGGTATAATCATATATTCTTAACAGTTTTTCAGTTTTTAAACACATCATCCTACGTCAGGAATTTACATAGTATTTTTATATAAAAGACAATCAGTCATCCTAGTGAACTCGTGAATCTTTATATTTTAAAAATCTGAATTCAGACCGTAATTGATAATCTATTTAAGTTTCATATTTATCATAACAAAATTAGAGAGAGATATAGAAATTTTATAAAAGCCATTCGCATCATACCAATAGTACAATTATCTACATCACTGCTATTTTCTAATGTTGAATTTGTACTTGTTTTAAGTTCACTTATCGTAATCTCTGGAACCGTGGATTGTGAAACAGCCCCTTGTGACTCTTCACAGGATATATTAAATGTTGATTCATCATCTGTAATTAAAACTTTACCACATTATATTGAACTGGAGGAAATTCAAGCAGAAAAAAACTTTCCATTTCTGTTATCATTTCTGTGGAAGAAAATAATGATTTTGATTTGAGTTTATTTGGCAATCTACTTTAAACTATTTGAACAATTGATTTTCCTAATGAAAATGAACTTGTTTAATTGTGCAGGACATTCAGGAAATTATTAATTTTATTTCAACAATAGTATGATCAGCTCAGAATGATGTCAAAACCGTTTAATATTAATTAATATGTTGTTGGGTTTTTTTTTTTTATCCGACACGACTGCGCCGAAACAGTTTACCTGTAGATATAATAAGACAAACATCCTTTGTGTTGAAATCAGATCCTGTTTCCAAAACCAGCTCATTGTCTTTAGTAAAAGTTGAGTTAGCACGTTCTTCTGTTTTGTTCAACACGATGTCGTGTAATTTGAAATAAACGTTTTTACTTTCCGGCGAATATTTCCGGAAGTTTAATGAAACGCTGCTGTTCAAAAATGCTGGTATTACATTGCATTTACATATATTTCTCTGACGTGGAGGTACATCGGCAGTTTCTATAAAAACTTGAGTATCCATAGTTACTTCCGAGTGTTTGCAGATACGAACAGCTGAAATAATACATGTAATATGCATGGTATTATGAGACACACGATTAAAAGAAATAGAAAATATACAAAAGTAAAATGATTAAAAAAAGAAACAACGACTTATGTCATGTATGTGTGTCCATGCTTCAAATATAATTTGTTCAAATTTGGAACAAACGTTAATTCTAAAATAAATCACTAAGCTCTAGTACATTTGATTATTCCCTCATCCTTAGTACGATTGTAATTTTATAACTTATAATGATGAAGATGTTAAAATGTATTTCATGTCATAACATGATAAGAATTATGTAAGTTAAGTCGCGTTACGTTTTCACCTTTGTGTATTGCATTGAATGCCCTTGTTGAATTTATATAAACAAGTCAGCAGATCTGTCTTGTAGTTTTACATGTCAAATTATTTATTTTTAAATTAGTAAATATTTAATGTGGGACCGTAGAAGAAAATTTAATTCTTGTTGAATACATTACCTGGAGTTCTTTCACCACATTGATTCACGTCACCATTTGTTTCTGTTTGATAGATAATACAATCATATATCATGAATCAGTTGCCGCGTGATTAAAGCTATGGATATTAATCTTAATAACCAAAATTGAGACAATTAACTATTCGATGTAAATTCCAAAAAAAGAAAAATGATTGTTCTTGTGACCAACGTACAATCTTCATATGAAACATCAGTGTTTACTTTCCAGGGAATAATCTTTTGTTTTCAGTTTTGAACTAATACAGAATAGGGAAAAAAGAGATAAGTGGATGCTATCTTATAAATAGGAAGTGCATGCATAAGGGTTTATCAAGGAGGATAAAATGTTGGATATATAATTTTACCAGATGGTCAGCTCATAGATGATTGCATCAAGAATAAGGAAACTAAAATATGAACATGCTTTATATTATTGCACCCTCATATTCGTTTAAATATTGTATGAAATAAAGAGATCAACATTGATTCTGATAATGAGATATTTTATACAAATTAAATAAAAATAAATATAATTTTTAGTTTATTTTTCCATTGTTTTTAGTTAGTTATTTAGTTAGTTAGTTAGTTAGTTAGTTTGTTTGTTTATTTGTTTCAAAAAGACTTGTCCAGCTTCCGTTTTTGGAACTGTCCAATTGGAGAGATATCAAGATACAGGTTAATCACTTTCGATTTCAGCAGAATAAGGGTCAGCTCGTTTTTGGAACACTATATATCAATTACTTTTTAAGCTAATGAACGGAACTGCCTACTGTACCAACATGCTTCAATATACAATTCCTCGACAGAAAGCTTCAGGAGGCAGTCACCTTATCTACTACAATAAACATGACAGGACAGTTTTAGTACCTAGTAAATATATATCTTTACCTTATAACTGAAAGTCAGCAAAATTGTCTGCAAAATTTATTAGGAGATGATGTAAAAAATAAGTAAACAGGTATAAGTTTTAATTACAGAATAATACACAAAAGAAATACATATCGAATGTTTATAGATCCGTATTGATGTTGATGATTTATGATATCATGCACCTTTGGATCTTTTCAGTACACATGGAGTTCGATGCAATTTTACCGCAGATTCCTTTGTTTGATCGCTTAGCTTCGTTCTGCTATCTGATTTCGTATTTTGGGTCCGTTTTGTCAACTTTTGTGACATTTTCTTAATACACATTGCATGTTTTATATACATCAGAACCCCACGACGGAAAGAATATCTCAAGAAGACTGAATGAAAATCCGAAATATAGACATAATTGATTAAAAAGAATGAACAAAATTTCAAATTGGTCGACGAATCAAGCCTGGCAGTGTTATTGGCGAAAGAACTGAAATCCGATCTTAAACATTATTACTGAAATAATATAAACATGAACTTTAGGCAGCATTTGAATCAGAAATATTTATGAAGTCAGCTAGCTTCATTAAAAGAACAACATAGAAATTTGCATACTACTTTTCAAGAAAACCAACTGGAAACGAACAAAATAAAATGCAGATGCAGAAGGCGCACGTGCCTTGACATATCAGGAATACCCGGGGATACAGGATGCATGAACAAAAACATAAGGACCGTGTCAACAAAGTGAAATTCAGTAATAGTGAATTGCTGAACACTTATGTGTTCGAAAAATAAGTAACAGAGACGAAATTGTCTACAAAGGGACTCCACTGAGGTCTCAGTGTAGGAGGCTACGAGCGGACTGCAGCCGCAACATGCGCAAGCTATATCGTTTTCTTGCACTTTGCACTTTCTGATCTATGCCATGATTAAACAATCTGGTTTACATCAACCAGAAATACCGAAATCCTTCCTAAATATGTTTATAATGTTATTGAGTAAATTTTACCTCTTTCTCAGATAGTCAATAATTGTGGCACCAGTTCCAAGCCAAAGTATTTGTAGTTTTCAGAATTGGTTGCAGCTGCCAAGGAGCATGCCTTCCGTTCTCTTTCTATATTTAAGTTAACCATCAAAACCATTTCCATACTGTACGCCCGTAAAAAATTCGGCTTATATTGTAATGCACCTTTTGTTAGCAGTTTTCGTGTCCGGTCTTTATCTTTTGAACCGGTTGCAGGAAATTGAAACTACTTTGCAGATATGTTAACCATAATAAGATGATATGTCGAGCGCAGATTTAACCTTTCTCAGGTGGAGGTGAGGGGCACACTTAGTTATTTTGTATCAATTTCAAAATTTTGTGTGCGTTCTGTATCTTTTGAACTGATGAAAAGAAATTAAAACTTTTTGGCAGAAATATTACATATAATGAGCCGGGTGTGCAGAACACAGGTTTGGACTTTCTGTGATCAAAATTGGCCCCGCCCCGGGGATGACTTGATTTTTATAGACTGACTAGTAAGTACAAAGGAACTCACATTTAAGTTTCATTGTGTGAAACTACAATGTCTATAGCTTAGATATTTAGCATGTGTCATTGCCTTATTGACCATTACAAAACTGATATGAATCAAGCCCCTTGGTTCAATATTGCCCCCGCCCCAGGGTCACTTGATTTATATAGACTTACAGGAAAAAGACATTTGACACATTTAAGTCTTATTTTGGTGAATCTTCAATTCACAGAGTTAAGATATTTGACAAGTAGCATTGCCCTGTTGGCCTTTACAAAACTGGTATTAGTCATGCTCTTTGGGTCAATGTTGGCCCCGCCCCTGGGATCACTTAGTTGATTTAGTCTTGTATGTTTACTTGATTCACAGAAAATTCATTTTCATATGAACACATGAATGTTAATAACTTTTATCATCGTAAGAAATCACTTAGAACTTTTACTCGGACAAAGATAGACAATTGAAGTAATTGACAGAATGTTTTTAATGTTTGAACAGAATATTTTACAGTACAAAGAAGAAAATTAATGAAAAAAAAAATACATTGTATTGGTTATTTGTCCCTAAAAGCGACTTTATGTTACTAGTTTGGATTTTCTTAAAAGAGCAGAAATCTTAAATAAAGCATATGTATACTGTATATAATCTTACATTATTTTACGTTATATTTTTTGTTATTTCAGTTTCAGTCATTTTCCGACGTTTAAAACAATTAATCTAAAATACATTTTGCTGTGTCTTACATACTGTATTTTTCTTCAAAATGAGGGCATAACTGGAATAATTAGAATATCGCATAAGCAACTTACACAACTGTTTAGCTCGACTATTCGAAGAATATGAGAGCTATTGTAGTCGCCCGGCGTCGGCGTCCGCGTCGGCGTCTGCGTTGGTTAAAGTTTTTTGTAAAGTCAAATATCTCAATTATTGCTTGAGATATTTAATTGAAACTTACAATACTTATTTATAGTAACAATGTTCGTCAAGTTGGATAACTTAATTAACAGAATATGCCCCGCCAAGTTGGATAACTTAATTAACAGAATATGCCCCTTTTTAACTTACAAATTTTGGTTTAAGTTTTTTGTAAAGTCAAATATCTCAATTATTGCTTGAGATATTCAATTGAAACTTACAATACTTATTTATAGTAACAATGTACATCAGATTGACAAGTTGGATTACTCTGCCTACAATATTTACAGAATTATGCCCCTTTATAACTTAAAAATTTTGGTTATAGTGTTTTTGTTAAGTCAAATATCTCAATTATTGCTTGAGATATTCAATTGAAATTTACAATACTTGTTTTATAGTAACAATGTACATCAGTTTGCAAAGTTGCCTAACTCTGCCTGCAATATTTGCAGAATTATTCGCCCCTTTGAAATTTAGAAATTTTGGTTAAAAGGTTAAAGGTTTTCAAAGATATTTACTTGAAACTTTACACATGTACTTGGGGTCATAATTGAGGGTCACGTCTCAATATTCATTACTCTGCCATGTATTTTGACTGAATTATGCTCCCCTTTGTACTAAAAAAATCTCCTTTTCTTGGTTAAGTTTAACATGCAAGTTTTGCATATCTGATTAGGCTGATTTATTTCCCCTTTTCTATTCTCTCTTGATTAATGTTTACTTGAAGTTTTACACATCTCAAAAACTATTAAAGATATTTATTTAAAACTTCACATATGCATTTATAGGGTCATAATTGTAGGTCACTGACCAAGATCTATAATTCTATCTTGCATTTAGGCTGATTTTTCTCCCCTTTTTCAACTTAGAAATTCATGGTAAAGTTTTGCTTGTAAGCTGTTATCTCCATAACTACTGAAGGGTTTGTGTATTTTTTTGGGACATTTTTATGCATTCATGATAATAAAGAAGTGATTTACTTGATTAAACATCTTAATAACAAGCCTTTGTACCTTTTGGTCAATTTTATGTATTCATAGGTAATTTGCATTATTATACTCAATAAAACACCCTTGTGACAACTTTTTCGAATAGTCGAGCCTTACTGTCCTCCGACAGTTCTTGATTGATAAATCAGACCTCGTACAGCATAAGATATTGATATTTTCGTGCAGAATTTTAATGAGATGTACAAGATGTCCAAACTTGAGAAAATGTGTCTTATTCAGTGCCTTCAGCGCTTTGATCTAATTTGTAATGTAACTAAGATATACATATAATTTGTTTCTTTCACGAATGAGATCTTCAAATGGATGTCAAAGAGCATAAAATTAATAGCAATATAATAATGACAGTAGACAATCAATGCATTTTACTCGTGCATTTATATCTGCAGTTTCTCAAACAACCGTTCAGCTTATTAATACACGTATTATGAGGTTATTTTACATAGTGGAGTACAACAATAGGGGCCTACTTAATTTCTATTGGACGAGTACGCAGCTGTAAAACCTAAAATGGTAGTGGTGCTAGCATTTTTAACATGCTATATGCAAACATGCATTTCTCGTAATCGAGCACATTTTAATTAAAACAAAGTGTGTTTCTTTTGATATTTCCACTTGCATGCTTATGATACATTTCATCCGCTTTCAAATATAGTCCGGCTACAGTGAAAATTATATTTCAAAACTTCATTGTGAAATTATCAAAATATAATTTCACTGTCTACGGAAAAGCATGTAACAAAGCTCATTAATATTTTGGAAACTAAAAATTTTATTAAGCACACTTAATAATTTTATTAAGCACTTATTACTTATATTGTATTTTTTCTTGTATATTCTGCTATATTATTTCATTTTCAAAATGGTTTACCTCAATAAGATATTTGTTCATGGAAATCAATGTCATTTCATCCATAACTATTTATGCAAGAATGGCGTTTCCGCTAGTTTTACCCATGGCGGAAATTTTATCTGGCATGGGGGTGCCAGATGAGTCGCGTGTCATACAATAACGTCATTTTAGCGCAGAAGGGAACTATGTGCTTAGGATGACGTCATTTCGCCGTTGTTATTACAGTTGTAAATTCATACGCTAATGTTAGAAAATAGTTATGGATGAAATGACATTAATAGC